GGGTAGCACCTTGCAAACCATTACTCGCCCGGACCTCTTGGAAGCGCTAGCTTTCGGCCTGCTGCTTTTGCCAGCCGAAGCGCCATCATGACGACCGCACAAGCCGCCTGCTCGGCATCATACCCACACATATACGTCCCTCACGCACGCACGTGACCCCCCTACTGACCAGCCCCCATGCATCCATCGAGCGGGAGGAGAGAGAGAGAGAGAGATCATGCACAGGAGGCGTTGAGGACAGAGGTTGATGAGTTTGGGGCACCTGGATAAACAGCAGGCTCTTCGGGCGTTGGCAGCGTCAGGTCAGGTCACAAGGTGCATGTCTCCATGCCGGTAGCAGATAGGTTGCAGGCAGCCATTGTATGTACGAGACGTCAGGTAAGGTGGGCTACAATCACCTCTTTGCCGATGGCTCATGCGTTCATCCTGCACTGCAAAACAAGCTCCCCTCGCCAGTGTCAGCAGGGCATCCCCGGACGTCGATAGCAAGGCGTCTTTATCTAGATAGATAAAGACGCCTTGCTCTGGTAGATGCTCTGGTGCTCCTTCCGTCTCAAGCCTAACCCGGGCGGGTGGCCCCTGTGAGCGTCATCGTACGAGGTGTGTTAAGTGCGTCGCAAAATGAACCCAGGGTGGCGCAGGAGGCGCCAGCTGCCTGCTTGAGTGGGCTTGTACGGCGGACGACTGCATGCAGTCACAGGCAAAGGAGCGAGCAACACGACACATACATGAAGCATGAATCCCATGCAACCCCCGTGCGCTGAGTATGTGCTGCCTTCGGTGTGCAGCTCACTTGGGGCAACTAACTGAACCGTGATGGGCATGGCTTGGACGAGTGACCCGTGGTTCGGACATCCCTTTCGGACCATCCCGCTCCTTGCAAGCGCGGTTTCTCGCCAGGCTTTAGCTCCCCTTAAAGCGTGCGCGGAGGCCTGGCACGCTGGGGTCCAGCTGAACTGCCCGAGCGTGGATGGGCGTGCGGAGAGGGGGTTGCCGTACAATCCCAGGCCCGTTTTCGCCCCATATGCATGCGGATTGTGAGTTTTGCGTATCTCCTTCCAATTTCGACAAGACAGTTAGACGGTTGGTCCTAGGAACACGACTTGCACACGACAAGGCGTCTTTATCTAGATAAAGACGCCTTGCTCTGGTAGATGCTCTGGTGCTCCTTCCGTCTCAAGCCTAACCCGGGCGGGTGGCCCCTGTGAGCGTCATCGTACGAGGTGTGTTAAGTGCGTCGCAAAATGAACCCAGGGTGGCGCAGAAGGCGCCAGCTGCCTGCTTGTGTTGCTTGGGTGGGCTTGTATGGCGGACGACTGCAGTCACAGGCAAAGGAGCGAGCAACACGACACATACATAAAGCACGAATACCATGCAACCCCCGTGCGCTGAGTATGTGCTGCCTTCGGTGTGCAGCTCACTTGGGGCAACTAACTGAACCGTGATGGGCATGGCTTGGACGAGTGACCCGTGGTTCGGACATCCCTTTCGGACCATCCCGCTCCTTGCAAGCGCGGTTTCTCGCCAGGCTTTAGCTCCCCTCCTCGGGTCAGATCGAGCGACTGAACAGACAAGGGCCAAGAAGCCTACCTGGCTAGGCACGGGCAAGGTGGGCACGCTCACAGGCCCGGGGGCAGAACTTGAGCCCCAGAGGGGAGCGACGGGAGCGGCCGGTGCGGGCGGGTAAGACGACGCAACAGGCCAACCCTGCTGCCCGATCAGACCGTACGCCGGGGTGACCGAAGAACTCGGTATGGCGCCGAAAGGAACCTGCGCAATACGCAGTCAGAAACCGAGCAGAGACGAGGCCATCCATCAAACCCGCCCACCTGATAGGTGGAGAGAGGAGAAGCCGAGAAAGGACTCAGCAAGCCAGGGTTCCCCACGAACGGCGCGCCCGGGAGAACAGGCGCCGGCAACGCAAAAGAACCGCTGGGCGGAAGACCCAGATAGGCCTGCGGGCAGCAATCGATCAATTTCCGAGGAAGCAAGGCGGAAGGCCGGCGGTCCCTTACCGCCGTGTTAAGGGACGCAATTCCAGCGGCCGACCAGAATGGTAGGCTTAATAACCCGTCAGCTTCGCAGACACCGGGGCTCGCCCCCATTTTAAAAAGCGAACTCGCTGTCAAGTAGTGCCCAGGCTGTATCAGTGCTGACTTTGTTGGAGCTAGCGGAGCGTAGTGGAGGGAGGTTGTACAGTTGGGATGCGTATTACATGTCAGTGATATGCGTAGATGCGCCAGCTCGGTCCTTGGGCACGACCTCGTGATGATATTGTATACCTGGCTGTTTAAAGCACTTTGGCCATGACGTGCAAGCTCTGTCACAAGGGCATCTGCAAGCTGCTTATGGGATTTAATGCGCGTGTGTGATTGCTCTGGCATGCACAGCCTCTCTGCAGCTAAGAGCACCTGGTCGCACAACTTCAGCGATGCTGTTGGGCTAGACTTGGGTTGGATTGGCAATTGAGGAGTTGTTTTGGTGCGTTGGACGCTTGCATGTTGGCGGGTGGGGTCAGGCAGTGGATGTGCTGTGGTGCTTCGTACAACTGGTTCGTAATGACCCGCATAAAAGGCTAAGTGCATTTCTTCGCTGTTGCCGCCATATGCGTAGGAAAGGGCCCGACACCCGGTGCCGTCGGCATGCCAAACGGTCAGGTTGCATTCAAAGGCAACCGCTACCCAGAGTACGATGTTTTCGTCCGCCCAAGCCGCTCTGACCAAAGGCCCTTCCCGCTGTGAGAGCATGTCTGTGCAGTAAGCAGCCACAGCTGCGCCTTCTGATGCTGCGGTGCGTGCATATCTTGGCTCGTTAGCAATGGCCGTGGCTGTATTTGCAGCCAGCGACACGTGTGGATTGTCGATTTGGAACTGCGACCTAACACCATGCCTAAGCTCTTCTTGCGGTTTTGGATTGCGACGAAGTCCATGTCGGGCGAGGGACGCCTCGAAAACGTGAAACGAGCACGTATTTCGATCCACTTTTCAGCGGTGCGCGTTGAACGAACGAAATGAACGAACGAATGTAACGTAGAGGGACGATGCCCACTTTGTGTCTCTGCGGCCGCCGCGGCAGCGGCAGCCTTTGCTAAGCAGCTTGTATTGATCTACAACTAAGCTTTCTATATTCTAACCAACATATTCGCTTTAACAGTTTTGTTTTTTGCAAGAGGCAAGTCAGCCTTGAGGGAGGCACATCAAGAGGCAACTTAACCTTGGCTTATGGGCTAAACGTTGTTTCCAGCGTTACAACGCTACAATGACATTGCTATGGAGATTACGAATCACCTGGACAAACCTGCCAACAGCACTTTGTTTCCGCCGACAAGTACGACACTTGGGTCGTCTTCTGAACCCTAGGCCAACTCGAAGCCCGTCACTTTTTCAACATACCGTTATACTCAAAACACAGCAACGAATACAACGCCACCTTGTTCGAGCGATTCTGCGACCTCGATGCAGGTACATACAAACTGTACAGGGATACACCATAGGACATGTTCACGGTACAAAAAGGACATAACGCCTCGGTCCGGACTATTTTGAGTGAACGCTAAGACTACGCCCCTAATCGGGGCGAGCCAACGTACGGAATTCTTCGCCGTATGAGGGGCTCTCACGTTCGTTCGCGCCAGCCCTAGCGCGAACGGAGTAGCGAGCCTCTCATACGACGAGTTCGTTAGTTTGTTAAGATGCCTTCCGGCTTCTCCACCTGGAGCACTGAACTTTTCTGTGGCGGTAAGGGGTAGCGAGCACCCTATGTATGTAATCTACCTCGAGTAATTCTTTCGGGCCTGCACTCAGGGCATAATGGACAATATTCCTCTGCGTCCGGGAACGGCTGTTGACCTTGGGTTTCCCGGCAAGGGGTCCGCCGACCCGGCGCCTTCGTGGGGGCTGGACTTTCCCGTTCTGGGACCGGGCTTGCAGCCTGTTACGGAGGTCGGTAGGCCTTTGGCATACTGTTTCAGGTTCGGCCTGTGCTGCGGGCCTTTCTTACTCGTTGCAGCGCTGCGCAGGTGTATCCCGGGGCAGTGCTCAACTACCCTGGGGCCGTCATGTCGGAAGACGCATTACTTGGGCGGCTGGGTCGAGGCGCTGCTGCGTGTCCACTGGGATTGCTGGGCCCACTGCCGGCCCCGGCCGTAAGCCCGGGGGTTTCCCCCCTTGCTGGTTGGGTGGGCTTGTCACCGTCTATCATTGGCGTCTCGTCGCCGCTAAAGGGCCCTCCCGTTTCCGAGCCCCCCTGTCCCGTAAGTAAGCATCTTTTTCCGCAATTGATTGAGGGTCGGGATCACTTCTATCTGACTCTTGTGGCATGCTGCAGGCGCGGGTGGGATTCTCAGAGTTGCGGGCCTTACGCGCGGCTCAGGTAGGGGTCCGCCCGGCCACTCGCCCAGTTGCGGGTTACTACGAGCGGGGTCTTCTCAAGGCGCAGGCTGTCATGGACCAGTCCCTGGCGCCCAGCACCCTTGCCAGCTCCCCTTAAAGCGTGCGCGGAGGCCTGGCACGCTGGGGTCCAGCTGGACTGCCCGAGCGTGGATGGGCGTGCGGAGAGGGGGTTGCCGTACAATCCCAGGCCCGTTTTCGCCCCATATGCATGCGGATTGAGAGTTTGACATCCCGAGATCGAGATGGCGCAGCGGAAGCGTGCGGGGCTCATAACCCCGAGGTCCCAGGATCGAAACCTGGTCTCGATACGCTTTTGCTCTCCTCCCCCGTTTTGGGGGTAGCACCTTGCAAACCATTACTCGCCCGGACCTCTTGGACGCGCTAGCTTTCGGCCTGCTGCTTTTGCCATGCTCGACCAGCCGAAGCGCCACCATGACGACCGCACAAGCCGCCTGCTCGGCATCATACCCACATGTATACGTCCCTCACGCACGCACGTAACCCCCCTACTGACCAGACCCCATGCATCCATCGAGCGGGAGGGGACAGATAGACATAGTAACAAATATATAGTTACAATTACTTTACAGTAGGAAGGTGCTACCAATCGTACAGCGCATTGTAATGACGAAATGTCTTTCACAGTAATCTAGTTCGCGCAAAGCACACATACTCCATTTTATGCGTTTTCGGTTTTCCAAACAATATCCTAAAGATTGCGAGGCAACCCATTCCTAGTTGCATACCGTATCGCCCTTGAAGACTAGCAAACCGTATGGCAATTACCAACAGAACAGGCGTAGCTGCAGCTTTACTTCCAATCATTCTCAATCCAACAAGGACAAATGCTCTGCAAGCTAGCTTTTCCTACTTGCCAATTGCAACCGCTGCTGTGGGTGTACCCGCTGGCCTCCAAGCGCGCATACATAAGTAAGGATGTGCGTCTAGACTGAATAGGCCCAATACGTAAATTTGAATTAGGTGCACTGCAATCCATGTACGTCTAAGCGCCGTATATGGATTGGCATGTCGCATTTCACGGGGACCCTGGTTGCCGGCCTCTGTTCCAGATGCTGGGATGGCAGTGCCTGCATATCGAACAGGGAGCTGGTTTGGCAGCATGTCTGAGTTGCGTCCCTGGGACCTAGGCGCTTGTCCCTGTCTCTGTTGGGCACGGCTCCCTGCCTCATGCACGGCGTGCCCCCTAGGGTAGGGCGGTCGATGCCCTGTTAGATGTAGGTCTGGTGATGGTATCTGCTGATAATGGTACCCAGTGTACCGCAAACTGAGCGCCGTCTTCTGGAAAAGGCACGCCCATCACTGCAGCCCCTATGCCCATCCTGTTCCCCTTGCCCTCTAGCTATGATGTGGCCGTGATAGGACTAGGTGCTTTCGGCAGCTCGGCACTGTACCACATAGCCCGGTCAGGCCTGAAGGTAAGACGGGCGACTGACACGTACATCCGTCCGCAAATCTTGCGTCGTCAGTTATCGCCAGCGCACGTCCGCCGGTGTGCCCTTACACTACATGGTTAGGTCCGATTCGGTGACGCGGAAGGATGACGGGAAGGGGGGTCAGCTGGGGTAAGCTCTTTAGTCATCATGCATGGTGAATGGGGCAGCGCTGTCAGCCCTCACTGGTGTTGGGGAGAACACGCGTGTGTGGATGTTATGGGTATTACGGTACTTGTATGGATGGGTCTGAACAAACGCTGACAGCCAGCCCTGCACGCATCTACAACCGCGGCACACGCGCAGGTCATCGGCATAGAGCGACATCGACCCGTGGGACATGCATTGGGGTCCTCACATGGCGCCTCTCGCATCATTCGCCTCGCCTACTTTGAGGGGCTGCAGTACGGGCCTCTTCTGGTGGGTGATTCTGTGCAATCCTAAATAGACGAGGCAATGAGGACCAGGGCTAGGTGGGGGGTTTAGACGGCTAGGGGCAGCTACACCCAGCCTCTTTGTAAGGCTGTCACCTGGGCTCCCCTCTAGGAGATCTATGCATGATAGTTCGTTATCTATCTCGTTAAATGCTCCCGGATGATCCTGCGTACATTTGTGCCTCATGCCATGCGTATCTGATGAATGGCAGAAACGCAGCCTTCGTTTGTTCCTGGAGTTGCAAGACGAGCTTATGGAACAACCGCTTGCCCACGGCAAACAGGTCGGTGAGTTTATTGACCACGGTACAGGCACTGTATATAACATTGACTGGCTGCTCACCAGCTCAGATTGCGTTGAGTTTGTTGACTTTGTGACGCATTAACCTGAAAGCTTGGCGGTTGCTGGGTGCGCCTGTCCATCCACTATCCTTTCCTTCCCTGTGTATGTTAACAATTGCTGAGCGTGTTAATTCAACTGCACCGAGCAACATTGTCGACCGAGGAGAAATGCTTGGGTGCTTGTGTTCGCAATTGCAGGCGCCGACTGCGTCCCCGGCTCCGCTCTTCCAGCGAACAGGCATGCTAGATGTGGGATCGGTGTTTGAGAGGGCACTGGAGTCAGCAAGGGCTCATGGGCTGCAGGTCGGACGGAATGGGCAGGGCAGACACATTGGCCGGGATCAGTGCTTTGAAGCATACGCGTGCATGCATGTTAGAGCTTAAGGCTAGCTACCATTCCGGTACGGGGTGGTATTACATATGTATACTGGGCAGCGGAAACGACAGGCAGTGGTGAGTTGTTTGTTATTGTTGGCCTTGATTGCACTTGCCAGGGTACATAGCAGGAACGAGCAAAAGGCACCATATATAGCAATGCCGGCTCTCAGTCGGTAGTTACCGTAACACCAACGTACAACGATACGTGACACCTGCACCCAACATGCATGCCGTGCATGTATGTCATGTCCATTCCGCCTTTCATGTATGTCAATACCGCGAACCCCTTAGCACGAGATCTTGACTGGGCCGGAGCTGACTAGGCGTTTCCCAGGTGCGCTGTGCGGAGAAAGGTAAAACTGATGCCAATTATCGTGCCTCTGTCTGTGCATGCATGCCGTACGACATCATGGCCTTGAAGGCTGTACGCTGTACAGGTGCCGTACTCCTAACCGTTGCCTGATCGCAAATACTAAGTGCGCAAGCAGCTTGCTGACATGCATTTCAGAGGCCCTTCGCCCGCTTATTTGGTCAGCGACCCATCATATCCCTCCCCTGTTGTACGACAGCCTACCGGGTTCCGGAGCACTGGCGGGCTCTCTACCAGCCAGATGGCGGGGTACTTGCGCCTGAGAGGATTGTACAGGTAGGCCGCATTAATACAATTCTGCCAGTGTGTGTATCACCCTTTACGAAGCCAGTGCCTGCACTGTTTCACTGCGCATTCCCAAACAAATAAACCATGGCTTGGCTTTGCTGCATGAATTGGCAATTAATACGTGAATGGCCGCCTGCTTGCGTTGTTGCCCGCCCGTGCCTTAGGCCCACGTGACCCTGGCGCAGCGGCTGGGAGCGGAGGTGGTGGTTGGTGAAACGGTGACATCATGGCACACGGAAGGAGATTCCAACGACTCACCGGTTACGCTGACAACGGTGCCCACCTCGGACGTGGTGGGTTTGCAATCATCGGCCTCTGTCATCGGCGGTAGCTGCGCATCGTTGCCGACGCCAAGCGCTGGCAAGCCTGGTAATATGTCGCTGTTGCAGGTTGCTGGAGAGGCCGGCAGTGGCGGTGGTGGTCGCACTATAACGGCAGGGGCTGTGGTGATGGCGCCGGGTCCGTGGATTGGGCAATTAGTCCCGGAGTTGCGGGTGAGCATGGGGCTGCTGGAAGCATGTCCATTTTCAGTATAGGAAACAGGCTAACACACATTACTTATCAAACTCAATCACCAGGACTTATGCGTACCGGAACGCCAGGTGGTCGGGTGGTTTGACATTGAAGGTGGGTTCGGCTAATAACGAATGCTGTGAAACACGAACCTTGCTGTGAGGCGTCCTCGCATGCGTGCTGGAGCTGGGCACGAACTAGGTTACTGCACGGGAAGGCAAGGCTGCAAGGGCGGCACGTGAAACACTGCCATGCATGTGAAACAGTCCATGAAGGTATTTCGCTCCCAGGCAGCCGTTTCCCACCGGTTCATTTCATTCGCAGCGGCTGTGTAAGGCGCTTCGCCGTCCATGTTAAACAGCCCCCCTTGCTCCTTACTCGCTTTGTACAGCCTCCGCCCGACGCGACTTTACGCCCGAACGCTTCCCGGTGTTCGTGTTGGAGGAGAGCCCCGGCGGTACCGCCTACTACGGCTTCCCGGAGCACGGCGAACTTCCAGGTACGACCTGCACATGCAATTATGCTTATGCCGTTTCGTACTGTGCTGTCACATGGTGTACACAACCGTGTCAATCGCTATTACAGTGCTAGTAAACCCTTGCTTTACTGTCACCCAATCTTGCACGGCGGAAAACTGCCCCAATGACTTGCAAAAACAACCGTGTTCCGTGTACAGGCTTCAAGATCGGCCTGTATCACCATCTACGACAAGACATCCGGGATCCGGCTGCTCTAGATGCCGTACAGCGCACGGCAGATGCTGCTGATGAGGCTGCACTGCGAGCCGGCGTTGCTTCGTACTTCCCAGCGGCAGCCCGCGGGCGCCTGTTGTCATCCAGCGCCTGCTTCTTCACCAACACGCCGGACGGCCACTTCCTAGTGGACCGCCACCCCTTACATCCGCAGGTGTGGTCCCGTACAAGGGTGCGTTGACCAGTAACTCCTGACTTTCAAGACGTTTACCCGAGAGCCAAACCCGCACCAACCCGACCACAGCACTTGTGCTTTCAAACAATTTGTAGCCACGTATGGAGACCTAAATTCCATCACATGCACCCCCTTCCCCTTCCTCGCATCAGGTGATCCTGTGCTCTGCCTGCTCCGGTCACGGATTCAAGATGAGCTCCGGCATTGGGCAGCTCATAGCCCGAATGGTTGCAGCAGGGCCCTCATCCTCATCACCGCCGCCACCAGCGCAACCCTCACCGACCACGGCGGTAACGGCACCTGATGCCGTACGGAAGGCATCAGGGAGCCCGGCCAGCACCGCCTCAACAGGCAACACTGCCACCACTGCAACAGCAGGAGCTGGTGATGGCGGGTCGAAGGTCGAAGGAGCGGGTGGTGATGGAAGCGGCTGGAGTGAGCTGCTGCCGTTCCGCTTTGATCCAGAGGGGCGGCTCGGTCACAAGGAGGCACTTTCGAGGTTTGAATAAGCGAACTTCGGCTGTGCTATGGGGACGGAAGGAAACACCGGGTGGGCCCGTTGCGCCTTCGACGTCAGCTGCTCGGTTTTACATGGTGCAGCACAATGTTGCGTACGGTAAGGCCAAGCAGATAGCAGGTTTTTTTATTATTACATGTTCATACGTCCTGGGTTACGAAGTTGGCGTATAGCGACCCTTGTCCGTAGCAGGATGTACGACAACGGAAGGCATGACCCACGGGTCGCCACGGACTCTCGCCGACCCGGAACGGCTTCCAAGGAACATTCTCCTGGCGTGCAGAACCCTGGGGCATGGCTCCAGCCAGAAGAGTAGGCGGGCAGGTAATGGTGGGAAGTGAAGACATCAGGAGATGACCGGATGGGCAATAGTAGGGCGAGATGAATGTGACGGACCACGGAACTCGACAACGGTACAAAGATGCAATGAGTGTGGCCCCACTCCAACAAGCCATGCCCTTCCCACCTTTCTTGATGTAATCGTCCTGGCAGGTCTTGCCCCCTTAGCTGCACTGACCTCCTCGCTCCTCGAGTCAAACACGTCATCGATGGCACTATTGCAGCCCTTGTCGCCAAAGCCGCCCTAAGTTCATACACATGGCCGCACGCACATGCTCTTGCCATGTTTACAACAGCCAGCCGTTTCTGTCTGCTGGTCTGCTCTAGTGTAACCTTCTTAAACCGAGAGTTAAAGCCACGGCAGGCTCTTACGGCAGTTCTCAAACTGCTCTCCAACAACGGGCACGTAGGTGCCAGAGGCCATGGCGCTCAGAGCTGAGTCGCTGGTGATCATGGAGTGAGCCTTGTGCAACGTAAACTTGGTCGTGTTGACACCTCGATAGTACACTGCCTGCGTGGTAAGAAAACACGGAGCCGACGTAGTCAAAAGACGTACACCAACCTCGCTGCCGCCGCAATCATGAAAGATGCGACGTCGACAGAAGATTCCATACCCTGCCTAAGAACAAAGCAAGGACCTACGGGATGCGTGCACAAGAACTGTTGAGCATTATCGCAAACCACTCATGGGGTTTCATAGATAAAGGGAAGACGGAGGGGACGATACGGTGCACGGATTCACCTGTTGTAAAGCCTTGACTTTGGGATGGGCTTTGCTGTTCCGGCCGACAGCTATGGAGGCCGCCACAGACAGATCATGCGGCTGGTGTACCAACCACGCGTCCGGTAGCACCTTGAATGTCGTACCGCTGTACGACAGGGACGCCACATGCGTCACCTTGTCACGGAAGCAGCCCCGAAACCGGACGTCGTACGGCCGCAGTACATGCCGCTCCCTGACGAGGAAGAGGTAAACACTGGGGCTTTTAGCGTCGTGTACCGGTCGTATACCCGTAACTGGAAGCGCACACGTTTGCAAGGTTTGTGCGGGAGGGAGCCACTCCCAGGCGGGATCGTGGTTGATGGACTCATGGCCTTCATCCTGGATATACCTCTGCATTAAGAGGAACATGCCTTCTCATGCAGGCAAGAATTTACAGTAGATCACTTACACACGCGCATGCCGACTCAAAAGGGAAAACAGACACACATTCCTGACCTTGTTGTAAGGCCCCAAGGCTCATAACCTCGTGCGTAATCCACCGTGTATGGCTCAGATGCCGTCAGCCACCTACGTAGCCAGGCACAGACAGCAAGTAGGCGGCATGGCAGTAAGGAGGACTCACACTGTAGACAGCTTCCAGCGGCGGCTAGAGCTTGCGGGGCCACATGAGTTTCACGCTGGTATCAAATGGCTAGGGCTAGAACACACTGGGCTGCGGTGTTGAGCTGAGTGGCTTTAGCTGGGAGTCTCCAGTCGCTTCTTACCGTCGGTAGTTTGTGACGTTGTGACCCTGCGGAAATATGTCCTCAGAGAAGGTACGGATGTGGCGGGCGGACCAAAGCAGCGCGATGCGGTTTTTGTCGCCTGCATGCAAGGTGAAGTTTGCCGGTTAAGATTCTGTAGCACGTCGCCACGCACGATGACGGCAGTCCCGCAGGACGCGGTATTTGCACCATGCATGCTTTTCTTTGCCACGCCTGTGCTATCGGCTGCAGGCATGGTCAAACACGTCGAGAGGCATGCGCACAAATATTTCGATCTCGTCAAGCATAGAATGAGATGTGCACGGTTAATAGATACGGGAATACGGCATTTACCCATCAGTACGGAGTGCACGGTGTTCTCGGCATCCGCCCGGGTAAGATGTGGGTCAGCCTCCCAAGCCGGCATGACCCACATCACTGAGGCTTCCTTCAGCATTGCTGCGACCCTGCGTTGCAGGTACGGTGGGTTGAGAGGTACGGTAAAGCCGTCAGTTGCAGGTGGTGTATACTGTTTGTACGGCACGCATCAGAGACCGTGGAGTAGCAGATGCAGTACACGACAAGGTTGCATGCCATATGCATGCCAGGGCTGAAGAGGCAGCAATGCTTCACAGTGAGCCTACTGGGCACTGGGCAGTGTGTGCAAACCTGCTTGAATTTTGGAGAACAGCTATGAGGGAGGCGCTGATGCCGAGATCCACATCGACCATGGCGACCAGGGACGAGCGCACGGCAAGCAGCGCGGCATTGCGCAGGGCGTTGATAGGCACCAGAGCTGCAATCGCCGGATCATTTGTTACTTCCGTCAGCAGGAGTACTCGCAAAGAGCACGCATCAGGACTAGCTTCTAGTTGTTGGAACATGCGCTGCATAGGAAAGAACGGGGCTGTTATCCACACGTGTCATGCTCTTTGCTCCATCAGGCCCAGCGTTTAGCCCACCTTTAGACCGGACCCCTATAAAAACACCCCACCTGTATTATGTCCGTCACAAGGCTTTGCAGACCCGTGTTTCGGTGAGACAGGTTGCCCCCTTGCCGCTGCACAAGCGGGAGGTATACCGCCGCTGAAACAGTGCCTTTGGGCAGCATCCTGCACTGCATACGACATGTTGCCTCGTGTCGCAGCTGTGCTGAGATATCGCTTGGCTGGATAATGCCGGTCACTTACGAGAGCTTCCAAATGCTGCAAGCGGTCCATTGTAGCTGTCGTAAAAATGGTCAGAGGGACCTCCGCCTGCCGCCTTGACATCCATACTTCAGATATGCTGAGACTGCATATAACCATGCTGTCCGATTGCGATCTTTGGACCAAAGGGCATAACCAACCGAAACGTACTTACCTCACAGGTTTGTTGGCCATGAAAGCTCCAAAGGATGTGGGAGTTGAGTTATACGCAGCATTGAAGCATCTCTGGATCAGCTCAACGTCGCTTCTATGCTGCACAGACTGTCCGCGTGCAGCCAGGCATGTTGAACAAGCCAAGAGCACGCCGTTAATTAGGGTAAGCACAGTTCTAAGACTTTGTGGGTTCATTGAACTGTAATTCGAGCTAGAAACTATGTTACGCTTGTGTTGGACCTGCCAGGGCCCCATTACGTCGTTCCATAAATAGCATTACCCATGCCATGATAAATTATATGTCCATATACATACACATAATACCAATATTCCTCTAGTTAGATGGGCTGCATTTTGATTGAAGAAAGAGCTGGCGTACGGCGTTAGTCACACGCCATTGAATGAAGTGCTGCTGCCTTCTCTCCAGGAAGTACAGCTCGTGCAAGTGGGAGGGGAACATGGGTACGCACAAAGCAGCACGCACCGAAGGGACAACAGGGCATCCCGCAACCCCACAGGTGCTTCATGCCTCAAGTACCGCCACCACCGTTAACATCGCCCCCATCTTCGCTTCCCCCACTCAAGTAATCCTCCTCCGCGCTCTCCGTATCTTCCTCCTCCTCTTCCTCACCTCGATCTACCGCCGCCGCCTCTCCCACCTTCCTGCCCGGCCTTTCGTCTCCAACCCCGCCTCCATCCCCTCCCGCTGCATCCCCCTTCCCGCCCCTCCGCTCCTCAGCCCGGACCTGCTGCCTCAGCATGCGCGCCTGCACCCTCATTGCAATGTTAACATGGCCTCGGTGCTCCGCCGTGGCTGCCGCTGCTGCTGCCGCCAACGCAGCCGCACCCCCTGGTTCTGAACAGCGACGCCGCGTGCTTGACCGACTGACCTGCCGTGACCGCCGACCATCTAACTGCTGTGGCTGCAATTCTGCTTGGGACTGCACATGCAGCTGCGCGTTGGGTTGTGTTGGCGTCTGCGACTGAGCTTGCAGGGAATGCGGAAATGGCGCAGGCGCTTGCGAGGAAGTCTCCGTGTTCGGTGGCTGCTGCTCAGCTCGATGGCGTGAGCGCATAACCGTGCCGCGACCCGACAAAGAGCCCTCGGATGTGCTCGGATGCCCTCGATTGGCTGCTTGCTCCTTGCCTGATGCAGCCCCGACTGCAGATAAAGGCATTGCGCTCCCATGCTGGGATGCGGAGGAGGTACCCGCTGAGGCGGACAGCGCATGGGTCACGGCGGCCTTGGGAAGCATTGCAAGGTAGGGAGACACGAAACCGCTGTGGCCATTACTACTCCTGAATGAGCCATGTGGCGAGCAGCTAGCCACACCCGCCGGGCCGCCGCCCCCGCCCTCCGTCGCTGATACCGGCAAGCCTGCCGTTCCTGCTGCAGTGGGTGTTGTAGGCCCGGCGGTGCAGCCTGCGGCGGCACCATCCATGCCTGTACTTCCCCTGCCCTTGATGTTGAGTGTGGGTCGTGTGGGCACAGCGCTCCGGCAGCGCATGGGGCTGAGGCCCTGGATACCGCCCAGCATGGGCGGGGCTGCCGCCGCCGCTGCGGCTCCTGGTGTCGTACCTGCCGTACACGCTACGGTTGCTGCAACTGCTACTGCGTGTGCTCCCGGTGGTGTTGACGTTCCCGCTAGCGTCGTCGACGCATGGGGTGCTGGGGAGACGGGACTGAGCAGGGCAGAGGCAGCAGCGGAGGAAAGCACGCCGCGTGGCGGTGTGAGGGCGCGTCGCGGAAGGGGCGGCACTGGCAGCGGCGGCGGGCGGCGGCGACTGGGAGAGACGGACTTGGCACACCTGCGCGGCATGAGTACGGTAGCAAAGCCTCTCACAGCCGTGGGATGGGACAGCGCAAAGGGCTGGCCCGAAACAGGAACAATACATGTGTCTGGAAGCACAAGCATTGTAAGGTCGCAAGACACAAGGGAGGACGGTGAGGACAAGGAGAACAGAGATGTGCTCTTGCGCATGCACGCGCAGTTATTTGTAAGCATTTGCAGTGACCCTAAGGCATGAACAATAAGCGCCGTGCTGCTAGACAGATAGACAAACAAGGCCATGCATGAGCGCCCTGCCACGAACGGTAGCAGCAACTCACCTCGAAGCGGCACCCGCACCCGCACCCGCGCCAGCACTGCACAACGGCGACCCTCCGCTACTCCCGGCACTGCCTCCAGCCCTCTCCAGCGACCCCTCCTGCGCACCAGAGGCCGGCCCCTGCCCCTGACCTTGCCCCTGTTCCTGCTGCTGTGCTTGCGTTTGCGGGTGCAGCCCTTGTTGCAGCCCTACTGGCAGCGGCTCTCCGCCGTTGAGACTGGTGTTGGAGGAGGGCTGGCAGCCCAGTGCGCGGAACTTGGCAGCCAGGCGCCGTGATTGCACTGTTTTGAGTGGACATGCGGGCGTTTGGTGGGGACAGAAAGGAATGCTTTAAAAATAGTGTTTTAGCGCCCTCTTTAATGTAGTTTCCCGGCCTGTTGAAGCGAGCGCCCTCCCGCCCTAACTCCCTCCTACCCGCAAATGTGTCCAGCGCGGCGCGGTGCACTGCCCAGGGTTTGCGGCCCGTGAGAGACAGCGTGAGGTAGCGCCAGCACACAGGGCCCGAGTAGTAGGTGTCGTGCTCCAGGGGCAGACCGACGTACACCTGTCGTACAGAGGACCATGAGGTTGTACGGCAAAGTACGGTCAGCCATGGAAGAGTAGGTCTGCTGGCTGATATGGTCCTGCCTTGACGTCAAAATTGCGCCAAGCGGTATTGTAAGGTCATGGAAGCCTTACCCGTGCCAACATATGCCACCAGCGCTCGTACGAAGCCTTGTACTCGGATACGAGGTCTGGGGGCGGAAGGGAGGGTGAGCAGCCGCGTCGCAGGTAGCTTCACCGAACACGGCGGAACGGACACGCACCCGTACATTGCGTTGGGTTGGGATTAAGCAGCATGGCTTAAGTGAATACCACCAGCACCACCCATCACCCTTGAGTTGCCCGCGCAACGTCAAAAACACACCTGTCAGGCTGCCGTGCAACACCCTAAAATCCAAGACATGCAAGCCAAGCCCCGGTATCAAGGAGTCGTACGACATCCCGAAGCCAAACACACACATGAGGTTAGTTTTCTGCACACGCACCTGCCAGGCTGTCGTACACAAGGTCCTTGTCCATCAGCTCGGGTCGGCGAGACAGCCCCAGAGCGCCCCATTTGCGGCTGGGCGCGTGGTATACGACCAACACGATGTGCCTGAGGCGCCACGAGGCGGGGGGAAGCGTGGAAAAAGAGGCATACAGGGATGAGGGGTTGTTCTCATTGTTGTGGAAAGGACGGACTTCGTTGAAGACCAAGGAAAGGGCTAGCCGTACGCAGTGTTATAAGAAGGCTGGGGCAGCATCTATTTACAGCCCCGTACGCTGGGCAACCTGCTGCATCCAGTACAATGTACCTGTACGTCTGGCCTTGAACCGTGCTCTTGAACGCCAGTGGCAAGCGGTCCAGTTCGTGCCAACCAGCGGTCAGCAGAGCGCCCAGGAAGACCGCCTGGCAGCATGAAATGAGTGGGCTGAACAAACGAACAGGTGCCTTTGTAAACAGGGTCAGACGAAAGTGCAGACGAAAGGGGAAAGGCAAAGCCCTTACCTCCAGGCATTTGATTGGCAGGGCTGCTCGCAACGCCTCCCGCGCTGTGTCCATGATACGTGAGAAGGGCCGTGACTTGGAGACATTGTAGTAGTACCCGGGCGTGTGGTTGTACTGCAGCGAATTTATCACGTGCTGTCGTACGCAGCAATGTGACGTGGCAGCGGGAGCGTCGCAAGCAAGGTAAGTTTGAGTGGAAAGGTCGGGATAGACTGAAAGGGGGAACGCCGGGGGGACGCTGGGCACCGTGTTCTGGAAACCGTCAAAAAGGCAGGGGAGCCCAGCCAGCATCCCGTCGGAAGCTCCCTTGCCATAGTCCGGACATAATAACTATAACGCTATCAACGCAGCGCCCAGCGCCAACCTCACCTGGACGGCATGCAAGCGCTGCTGCGGACTGATGGGCTTTCCGCTGGTAGCATCATGGAGGCCGCGGGGTACGACGGGGCGCGGAGGAGGCCCTAGCCCTAGGTTAGAAAGCTCTGCTTCGCTGCATTGCTTTATGAGCGTTTCCTGATGATCGTCAAGTGCAAGAGTGTTAACTGCTCGCTTGCCATCTGCCGAGCAAGACCCACGGAACGTACCGCCTCCTGCACACACTCGTCCGGCAGCGGTAGATTCTCCAAAAGTATTTTCAGGCGTGACGCCGCAGGACTAAGTGCCCCATACGTCATCGGCAGGCCTTTGTTACTTGCGTTGGTTACTGACGTCTAGGGCTCCGACATGACCGGAGCGATGGACTAACAGTTAAGGTTTGAATAGAGTATACCAAACAGCTAGCCACTGTGAGCATACATGTAACAGCTCGCAAGTGTGTACAGTTGCCGTGAATCCAGAGTTGCACGGTACATGCTCAGAAGTCATATTTTAAAGTACGAGGGTCGCACAAAGGCGAAACCTCACAATTCTATGGGCAACCGGTTTGCCTAAAGTGAACCCTACTGCTTTCAGCATGTTTCCGTTTGGCGCGAACGCTGAGTTCCGCATGTTCCTGCGTTTGGCGGACGTAGCAACTGCCTCATACACCCACACTACTTGGTAACTCTTGTGATTTTACGGTTGCAAAGCATATGCAAGGTTAAAGGTCGGTTAGATGTGGCTTAACGATGGAACAAAACAGCCATGGGCATATCGGTTTCGCGCAACATGAGAACCTATGCTGTAAAGCAAATCTGCCAGTGGATGATATAGCTACAGATCAAGCTTCTCGGCAATGGCAGCATCCCCCATCATCAACGTCGGCCAATTTCGTGCCTTCTAAAGGACCCTGGCCAGGGCTTCCGACAACGTCTAGTGGTGGTCAACGTTATGGAGTTGCCGGCGTCGTTGCTCCAGGAGAATCCGGGCCGTCGTCCAAGCTATCCCTGGCACCACCTTGGAGCGGTTCTGAAGTTCATCCGCCGGCGCATCCTCACAACCAGCCGCTAGGATGTGTCATGTCAGTGAACCCCCAGCAACAACCAGCACCTCCTATTCAGTCCCAACACCCACACCAGGACCAGGAGCCGCGGCAGATACAGCAGGCACAGCAGCAGATCAACGAGTACCATTATCGCCCGCTGCCCTCGGATGCACCTCTTGCTTACCCCTCTTGCCAGCCGCAATTTGGCTCCTGTCGTCCCGAAACCCAGCCCCAATCGCAGGTGCTGCCCCGGCCTAGTCTCCACCAGCAGACATCGTGCAGGAATGCGAGTGTGCCGACACAGGCGCAGGGGCGATCTTACCCGCCTATCCAACAGCAGCAGCCGCAACCGTATTCTGCCCAACAGCAGCAGCGGCAGACGCAACCGCATGCCCAGCAGCCTGGCCCTCTCCCACAGCAGCCAGCCTCATGTCCACCACGTTCTGGTTCCTCCGCCTGCGGCTCTGGAGCTGCAAGCCTAGCCACTTCTGCAATAGCAGAGGCGCAACAAGGCGAGGCCCATCGAGCCTCGATACATGCAGCGCAGGAGGGCATGCGACATGGGCCGCAACAACCGCAGCAGCAAGCTTTGGTGCAGGCGGAGAAACTGCAACGCCAGCTGCATCTGCATCAACCGCAGGTACAAGCACAGCAGCCGCATCAGCAGCAAAACCAGCAAAACCAGCAAAACCAGCTGCCCCAGCATCAACCGAAGGTGCAGGCGCAGCAGTCACAGCCGCATCAGCGGCAAAACCTGCAACCCTTGCAAAAGCAGCTGCCTCAGTATCCCGCCCAGACACGCCAGCAGGGCCAAGAGCGTTATCCCGGATACCCTCAGCAGCAGCTGCAACCGCAGCCACCACAGCCGTTCCCGGTTGCGCAACACCAGCCGCAGCACCTGCCGCAGCTGCCTCCGCAGCTCCATCAGAACTCTAGCTCTGTGCCGACGCAGGCTTCCCAACAGCAGCAGAAACGGGACGGCTCTAGTCATAACCTCCAAAGGGGGCACCACGCCCAGCAGCAGCATCACCAACAGCAGTCAATAGCGCCTGAGCACTTGCGGACAAGCGGCACGAACCACGGGCAGCCTCCACAACCTCCCCAACCCAACTCACTCCAGCACCGCGAGCCCCAACAACCGCAGTGGCCCACGGGTCAGTTGGCTGAGCAGGGACAGCGACCAGCTCCACCGCCGCAGCCGCTACAGTCGGAGCCCGGGCGACAGTGGCAGCACGGGCAGCACCAATTGCAGCCTGGGAGCCATGCGCCTTTGCAGGCGGCAAATCCGCCGCATTCGCACGCAGGCCAGCAAAACCCGTGCGTACCGGGGCGGGAAAACCCCTCTCAGTTTAGGCAACACCAACCGCCGTCGTCTGGGCAACCGCTGAGCACCACCACCCGTCAGCAACCAGCGGCGCAGCAGCAACAGTATCTGCAGAAGCAGCCTGGGCAGCCGCCACCACCGGTTGGGCCGGTACCCCAGCCCCAAGCACCACCCCACCTGGAGCAGCAACTTCAGGATCGTGGTGGGCCAGCTCCACAGCACAAGCAACAACACCCTCCGCAACAGCCCGGGCTGCTGCCACCACAGAATCCACCCATGGCGCAGCAGCAGCAGCAATCACAACTTGTACAGCGGCAGCAGCAGCCACAACCCTTACAGCCACAGCAACAACAGCAGCATAGCTGTCAGCAACCCCCAAGTCACCCGTTACAGCGGATGCAGAACGGCTCGCAGGGTCAGCAGCAGCAGCAGCAGCCCCCTCACGCGCCTGCAGCTCATGCGCCGGCGACTTCAGCTACGTGCGCGGTACCACCACATCGACCAGAGCAGCAACGATCCGAGCAGCAGCGAACCCAGCAACAGCCTCTGCACCACCAGCAACCCCTGCAACCGCCGCCACCGCCGCAAGCCTATCCACAGCAGCAGCAAGTGCAGCAACAGCCTTTCCCTGCCAGCTTTCGACAGCAGCACCATCAACAGCCCCAACAACGCCCGGAACTAACGCACAGCCATCAACAACCTCACCCGCAATGGTGCCTTGGACAACATCAACACCCCTCGTCAGTCCAACTGCAGAGCGCGGCCCCTCTGCAAAACGGGCCGCTGCCGCAACCGCACCAACGTCAACACGTGCCACCTCAGCAGGGCTCCTATCCACGGTATCCGCAGCAGCAGCAGCAGGAGCAGCAGCTGCAGCAACTAGGAAACGCGCCTCAGGGTGCTGTCATGCCCGAAGGTACTAACGCACTGAGGCTACGGCCTGAGCGGCCTGAGTCTGCGCAGGAGGCGCAACAGCAGCAGCCCTTTAGGAAAGGACCTTGCATGGGTCCTAATGCCACTGGTGCAAGCGGCGGCGGCAGCGGCAGTGGAGCCGCCGCTGACGGGCAAGGCCGTACTGTCGACGGCAGGAACAACGGCGCTGGCGGCGAACACAACATGGCTGTTGCGGGTGGTGACGGCGTGCACTATTCCTGTCATGGACGAGAAAAGCCCGAGCCGCATGATGGGGAAAGTCGCGGTGGCGGTGGTGGTGGGGTTCACGGCGGCGGTGGTGGTGGCGGTACGGCAGGCGGTGCTGGTGTTGGGTCGACTTCTCACAGCGCTGGCTCCAGCAGCGTCGTCGGCGGTGGAGGCCGGGGCGCTTCCGCCCATGGCGGAAGCGGCACTGGCGGAAGCGGCAGCAGCGGCGACGGCGGCGGCGATGGGGACAAGGGCTACGGCACTCCGGGCAGGCACGGCGGCCATTGCACCCCTGGCGGCGGCCGCCGCGCTGCCAAGAAAAGCGGAACCGCCGGCGCCGCCGATGCTGCTGGCGACGATGACGAGATTATCCCATCCGCCAACCCGTTCCTTCGATTTACAGGCTCCCCGCCGTCGGCGGGCAAATTGAAGCGCGGCGGCATTGGCTCCCCGGCAGCGGCGGCGGCGGCGCTGAGGCCAGGTTGTGCCGTACGGAACCTGGGCTTCGGTGGCAGCGGTGGCAGTCCTCGGGACGGCGTAGGAACGGGGCAGGCGGGTCAGCTGTCCAAGGGCCCTATCCCGTTGGTACCGTCACAGCCTCCGTTACAGCAGCAGCAGCGGCGGCCAGAGCTACCGCCGCAGGGAGCGGTGCCGCCACCGCAGCAGCAGCAGCAGCAGCAGCACGTGCCTCAGCAGCAGCAACAGCCAAATTACCAGTACGGCAACCACTACCAGGGCGCGGACCAACTGAACCAGGCGCAGGCCCATGCGCCAAGCGGCCCTCAAGCTTGGCCCCCGCAGCAGCAACAGCCACCTCTCCAGCAACACCGTCCACAGCCCCCACCTCCGACAGCTGTTGCCTTTCCTCCTCCAGCTGCACCACCGGTTGCACCGTCATATCCCACACCTCAAGGGCCGCTTGCTCAACAACCACAACAATCTCATCTGGGGTATGCCTCGAACGGGGTTGTTAGGGGTACCAGCGTAGCACACAACCCTCGGTTACCACGGCCTGCATGGCCGCCGCCGACGACGACAGCGCCGGCAGCTGTAGCCGGCAGCATGCAGGGACCGCAACCGCCAACGCCATTCACCTCATCAGCGGCAGGAGCTCCAGGAGCAGCAGCACTGGGAGCAGCAGCAGCGCAAGCGGGAGGCGGCGGAGGAGGGTCGTTAGCTCCCTGGCAACAACCCAGCTTGCTGCCGCAGCAGGGACAGCAGCAAGGGCATCCGGCCGCGGTACAGCCACAGCCACAGCAGGGGGCACCTTCGGCGATGTACAACCAACACCATCACAACCCCGGTGCTCATCCCGTATACCAACAGCCGCCGGCACAGCAACAACAACAGCAGCAGCAGGTACGACACCCGCTGCCGGGGAATCAGCAGCAACCAGCACATCAGCCGCACATGGGGCCCCAGCTTGGCCCCCAGCCTGCAGGCTACCCACCGCCGCAACCGCAGTACCTACAGCCGCAACAGCACCAACAACCTGAACAGCGGCAACTGTCGTACGGTACCATGCAGAAACACCAGCCGCCTCAGGGTCCGCCTAGGGGCCAGCAAGGGGCTGGATCCAACGCCGCCAATGCCGTACAACCGGGCCAACAACACCCGCCGTACGGACAGCCGCAACCGCCACAACAGCAGCAGCAACAACAACAACAGGGACATCGGCAGATGCAACAGCCTCACCACCTTTCCTCAACCGTTAGCTCTACGAATCACCATCCTCATCAACAACAACAGCCGCAGCGGCACCAGCAATACCAGCAGCAGCAGCTAACATTAAAGGGAGCGAAGGCCCCACCATCAACCGCTCCTTCAGTTGGTTTCGGAGGCGCCGCATTTGGAGGCGCTGGGGGAGGCGGCGCCGGCGGGGCCGGTGGTGCAATCACGACGACGGGCATGCGGCCGGAAACCGAGTATCGTGGAAGGTGTCCGTTTGACAGGTAAGGGCGATTGGATATTTGACTTAGTCCGTTACTGCTGTAGCTCCCCTCTTTCTGGGGAGTTCCTTACTCTCAAGTATACCGGTGGGCACCAGAGGTCTGAACTGCCCTGCAACTCATGCTCCTAGGAGACGAATCTTTAGGCACCTGATGCCTTACCCATAAAGCGGGTACAAATAACAGTACATAATCCTGTGTGTGTGACCTGCGCTACCGGTACGCAGATGCCCCGGCGTCTACCAGCCATGCAACGCCGAGCTCCTGTGGATCCGGCCATCCGCCTTCGTGCAAGCGCAGTACCAGCAACAGCAGCTGCATTACCAGCAGCAGTACGGCGGCCCACCGCCTGCGTCGTACGAGCCCATGGGGTACTGGCGCTGCTGCCGCTACCCCGAGTGCGGCTGGCGGTACTACCCGCACCCGAGACTGCGGGAGCCGGTGCTGTCACTGGAGATTGTGGGGGACAACGTGTTCAAGGTGAATGGGTGGATCAGTGTGTACCGGTAACTAAAAAGAGGAGCTTGTCAATGTCAAGCCATTGGAACTCCCGTTCGACCCATGGGTCACTGTGTTGTGACCTTTCCTTCGTGTGCTTCAAGCATGTATGCAATGGTGGTCCTGACGCTGACCCATGGGTCGCAGGTCATGCCCTTCCCTGGAGCTGAGGACGCGGTGGCTGCGGGGGGCGGCGTCGCCTGCGTGATGGCGGGAGCCGGGCTCGACCTCAGCCCCGCCCTCACTCGCGAGGAGGCCAGGAGGCTCATGCGCGCTAGCGCTGTTGCGGACGCCAGCACTCCTGCTACTGCTGCTGCCGGTCACGGCGCTACCACGGCTCCCCCAACAGGAGGTGGTTCTGGCGCTGCAGCCGCCCCTGACGCTGCTGTAAGCAATGCTGCAGCGCTCGCGGTGGTTGCGGCTGGAGGGGCTGCGACTGCCTCGGAAGCAGCAGCTGAGGGGGCGCCTCTGGACGCGGGTGGAGACCTGGATGTAGGTGTGGGGAGGGGTCGTTTCAGAGCCTTGTAGCCGGCTGTCACGGGTGACGTAGTATTAGGCGTCAGTTTTGACAGATCGACGATGCACGCTCGGAAGGAACCGGCTGGCTTGTTACGGGTGCATGAGAACCTCACCTGCAATTCGGACGCCCAGAGCAACCTTTCTCTCTCCAGCGGATATTCCGAACCAGCCCCTCCTTTCCCGTTCCAAACACGTATGTCTTGACATCACCACTGAACTACGGTCCCTGCTCCCTGCAGGACCCCGCGCTCTACTTCCCGCTGTCCTGCTACGAGCGGCTGCTGGCTCCCCTGCCGCCGCACTGCAGCCTCTTCAACGCGGGCTCACGCATACCGGAGCCGGTGCGCCTGGCGTACAGGTAACGTACAAGGGCCTTGGGCGACTGCGGGGATCAGGTTTTGGCATGCCGCGGCTTGTGCATGTCTAGGGAGGAGTTTACCTCCGAATCCTCCTCGCTACCCCGGTTTATGGGGTCCCTTCATCGTGCCTCCCGATTCCCCGCTCTCCACCTGACTCTACCCCATTTCCCTTCACTCTTCCCTTTCCCTCTGACCTCCCGGTCATCCATTCATCTACCCAACCCAACAGGGGCCAGTTCCGCCCGCGTGCCTCCCCCGACGACATCTCCGCCCGCCTGCAGCGCATGCCTCCCTCCCTGCGGACCGCGCTCATGCCCTTCCAGCGGCAGGGCGTGGAGTTTGGGCTGGCGCGGGGCGGCCGCTGCCTGATTGCAGACGAGATGGGGGTGGGCAAGACGGTGCAGGCGATTGCGCTGGCGTCGTGCTACGAGGAGGAGTGGCCGCTGCTGTGTATCGTGCCCGCGAGTCTGCGGCTGGTGTGGGCGGAGGAGCTGGAGAAGTGGCTGCCGCACATCAGGTGGGGTTCGCGGTTTGTGTGATCACTACTTGGGTTACTAGTCCTGTGCGTTTGTGAGTGTTGTTTGCCGGGAAGAGGACGTGCATTGCTTGGGAAAAAGAAAAGACGAGGAAAGTGATGAGGATCTCACCCGCATGCCTTGGGATTCCTGTGCTTCGGGCGGGCGTTACGAGAAGAGTACAATCTCCCAAATCCCCTGGTCATACGCTTGACCATGTCCTCACCTGGCTTCTGCACCTGCAGGCCCAGCCACATCCATGTCATCGAGGGCAAGGCCAACCGCCTAACTGGCCGAGTGGCGAGAGGCCAGGTGGGTGGAAGGTTATCTAGAGCGGGGGCCGATGCGCAGATCCTCTCACTCTGCTACATGCATCATCCTCATTTGCGCCTGGTACCGAGCCGCGAGGTGGCTTACGTACTGTGACGTAAATGGCTCATGCGTGAAAAAGGTTTGCAACCATTCTTTCCCTTCGTTACACGATTACACCGCCTCACCCCGCCATGCCGCCCGCCCCCGCAGGCGCTTCCCCGCATCACCATCACCAGCTACGAGATGATGCGCCGCCTCACATGTCCCGCCTGTTCCAAGATCCGGCTGGCACCGCCACCGCCGCCAGCAGCGGTAGATAAGGGGGATAAGACTGCCGGGAAGGGCAGCGCCTCCGCAGCTGACGGTGTTGCGGGCGGGCGGAGCGTTGCTGGTGGTGGTGGTGGCGGCGGCAAGGCAGTATGCTGGGGACCCGGTGAGGCCGCATGCATGGTTGAGGCATGAGGCTTCGTCACCCCATGTTGCATGCACATGTATGCCTAGCAGAGTACCATAGCTATCACTGCTCCTGTTTGTAACTGTCTTCTGTCGTACCGGTAACCAGGCCAGTGGCCATCTTCCTTACGGCCATCGGTCCTCAGCCCCTCACACGCTGCCTCGCTCCGAAACCCGGTTCCCGGTTCGCTCCGAAACTCGGTTCTCGTTCCGTTTTAAAACACCCCTGATTCGCCGCAGACCGCTGCATGGCTGCGATGCCCTGGGGCATGGTTATCGTGGACGAGTCCCACAACCTGCGCACAACCAACAGCCGCGACGCGGACAGCCCCCACACGGAGGCCTGCATCGCTGCGGTCGCCAGGACGCGCAGGGCCGTACTGCTGTCCGGCACGCCCAGCCTGTCTAGGCCGTACGACCTCTTCCGGCAGGTACGTGGGATGGCTGCTGGGGGACGGGCTGCGTGGTTATGGGGCGTGGGAAAGGGCACGGGGAGCGGTGTGTGCAAGACCGGAAAGCGGCTTTGACAGCGTGAGAGGGGGTGGCATCAGGCGGTTCTTTCGCTTGAAAGGTTGCAAGTTTGTACCATCAGTCACAAATCCGCGAGTGGCGTCTCGTTTCATTCTTACTTGCCTGCCTTGTTTTCTTCCCTTTCCTTCCCTTCTCTCTCCCGACACAGGTTGACGCCCTGCAGCCCGGTCTCATCGGCAGCAGCAAGCAGGCCTTCGCCTTCCGCTACTGCGACGGCCGCATGGTGCCCTTCCGCAACATGCCCAGCTCCGCGGCACGCAAGCAGGAGGCGCCCAGTATGGGGCCGCTGATGCCCGCCCGGAAGCGACTGGAGACGTCGGGTGGCAGTCGGCTGGTCGAGCTTCACGGGCTGCTGACGCGGGAGGTCATGATTCGCCGCCTGAAGAGGGACATCATGGCGCAACTGCCGCCCAAGCGGAGGCAGGTCATACGGCTGCCGTACCCTAAAAGGTGTGTCTTACAATGGGTGTGAATGGATGGTTTTTGATACTAATGCGACGTGCACGCAAGCGCTGCGGTCGATGTTAGAAGGGCGTTGCAGGGGATACAGTCTTGCAATGCAACCAATGCAACCAATGCAGCCAGCTGACACATGGGTCTCCATGCATCGCAGTTGGCCGGACGAGCCGAACAAGCCGCCAACTGCAGATGCTGCTGCACCTGCTGTCGATGACGCTGGCGCGAGCGGGGACAGCAATCGGGCGAGCGCAACGTGCAACAAAGGTGACAATGAGGGCGGCGGCGCCGGCGGAGGCCAGCGCAAGGCGGGGACCCGGGGCCGACCGGCGAAGCGAGCGAAGCAGGGCACCGCAAAAGGACGTGTTGGCAAGAGCTCGAGTGGCGGAGGTGGCGGCGTTGGTGACAGCGGCAGTGACAGCGGCGACGAGGACGGCGGTGGCGACGGAGGACGGCGCGTAGAGGAGGAGGAGGAGGAGGAAGGGTCTGAGGACGACCGGCCTGATACGGACGAGGAGGGTGAGTACATGCGGATGAAATTCCGCTCGTACAGTTCCTGCCGGCCCAGGAAGTTGGCGCAACTGCCCCTAACGTCTTGCCGTGTTGCAACCACTCCTGTCTCAGGTCCTGCTGCTGCGAAGCGGGGAGGCGCCGGGGCCGGAGGCGGTGGCGACGGCAGCGCGGGTCCCCCAGCTGCCACAGCTGCCACGGCTGCTCCCCCAGCTCCTCCCGCCATGTCTAGCGCGCATCGTACGGCACTCGCCAAGCTGCCTGACGCGATCAGCTGGCTAATTGGGGCGCTGGGAGGTGCGGGTGTGGCGCAGGAGGGCGGCAGCGGCAGGTGCGTTCGCGAACGGCGATTGTTGCTTGTCTGGTTCCTTTAAGCCGTAATCCTGGAAGCAGGCGGCAGCGGTCGTAGATGCTGTTGTTGTGCTTGCGTAGGTAGCGACCGACAAAGTTGCATGAGTGTGCGCGAATTGTCAGGATGCGACCCGAAGGAGACGCTGGTGCCTGCTCGCGAGTTTGGGTCGGGCGTTTGGCTTCGGTGTCACATGGGTTTGGGTATTCCGCACCCGGATCCCTGAGTCCAAGCACCCACGCTGCAGCCCACGCCTTCCTGCTCCTCGCAGGGGCGGGCGTTCCAAGCGGCACGCATCACCGCGGGACGAGGCGCCCTCCGCCGCCGCTGCAGCGAACGCGAGGAATGCAGTCACTGCCGCCGGCGGTAGTGATGCTCAGCAGGGGGCCCCACCGGGAGCAGCTGGCGAGGGCAGCGCAGGTGGTGGTGGCAGCGGGCTGTCGCCACCTTCCGAGCAGCCGCCCAAGTTCCTGGTCTTTGCCCACCACAGGTGCGATTGAACTGGGGGTCCGTGCACCTGTTCTTTGGAGCAGTGCATGGGTGAGACTGACGTGGGGCCCCTTAAATTAGAGCCCCAAAGCGACACGCTAGACTGCTTGTTCGATTGTTATCGTTAATGCGGGCTTGACAGCTGCTGGTCCGCTTTACTTTGTTTAAACACATGGGAGCACTTAGAAACACATTGGGACACACCCCTGTAGGGACGTGATGGATCGTTTGGCGGAGGCCTTACAGGGCTTTGACGGCGCTGAAGGAGGTGGCGGAGGCGACGATGAAGACGGAGGCGGCGGAGGCGGCAGTGGCAGCGGCGGCGGGGGCGCTGTGTGGCAGGGAGTCAACTACGTGCGTATTGACGGCAGCCACGACAGCGCAGAGCGGCGCAATGCGGTGATGCAGTTCCGGTGAGAGGAAAGAAGCGTGTTGGTTTGGGGCAGTCCACGGGTACAAACCGGCCCACCCAGGGCCAACCTCACGTCTTGATCAGAGAGACCAGATCAAGATTCTGTTCATCTGAAGCGGGCAGTTGAACATACCCTAACGAACAACGAAATTCTGTAGCCTCTACGTCTCTTCGCCCTCTACGTCTACTGCAAGCCACAACCCGCACCACTGGAGTTCTTCCCTCTACACATCTTTCCCCTTCTTCCCTGTGCATCTCTTCATCTCCAACCCCCTCCTCCCCGCACCGCTCCCTCCCCACCCACCCCACCGGTCCCGCCCCTACCCCTGCCCCCCCCCCCCTCAGTGACGACCCCAGCGTGCGGGTGGCGCTGCTCTCCATCACCGCCGCGGCAGTGGGTCTGGACTTCAGTGCGGCGGCTGCCGTGGTGTTTGTGGAGCTGCCCAATGAGGTAGGGCAGAGGGGTGAGGGGTGAGGGACGGGTGAGGGGCGAGGGGTGTGGGAGGCATGGTTTGCGGGATAGTTGGCGTCTACCCCGCTGCCAGGCTGCGCTTGTTTCTTACCTGCACCCGGCGCCACTTCTGTACGCCACGCTTCTTTTTGCCCTCAACTAGACACATCCCAACAGCCTTTAAGTCATCACACCGTTCCCTCCTGGCCCCCGCCCGAATCCCCATCCCCCCTCCTGTCCCCCTCCCAGGTGTCGCTGTTACAGCAGGCGGAGGACCGAGCGCACCGCAAGGGCCAGGCGCACAACTGTGTCAACGTGTACTTCCTGTGTGCGAAGGGCACATGCGATGATAAGAGGTGAGCGGAGGGTAAAGAGGAAGCGGCTAACCGTGTGGAGATGGGGACGTGAGGGGGTTAGAGAAGGGAAAGATGGGCTGGCAGGGGAAAAAGGGAAAGGGGCCAGCATCAGTTGCCCCGGCATGCATGCCAACATCCCTTACCACTTTTCTCTATGTCTGTACCCGGCATCCTTTCCCACGTTTCTCCCTCTCCGTTTCCAACCTCCATTTCCTCCTTCCTTTCTCTCCCGCTCTCTCGCCCTCCCTCCCACTCCCGGCAGGTGGCAGAAGCTCAACGAGTCCCTCAATAACCTCACTCAGGTGGGGGGGGGGTGGGGGGGGGGGCGGGAGGCTGCATCGCACCTGGGCGCCTGGTTGCCCCGGTAACTGGCTGCCTGCGTGCCTGGTTGCATGAGTGCCTGGGTGCTTGGCTTGTGCAGTGCGGGATGCCTGGGGTGGTCAGCCGCACGTCAGACGGCCGTTTGGGGCGTCGTTTAGAACCCCTCCTACCGACCTTAATGCTACGTGTTACCGATGTAAAAGGTACTGCAATGTGTACTTGTGTGGTATCTTCTGCAGGTGCACGACGGATCGGCCGCTGCTGAGGGAGGTCACGGCGGAGCTGCAGCAGCGGAGGGCGGCGGGGGCGCTGACGGTGGTCATGGCGGTGCTGCTGCTGGCGGCGGTGCCGTACATCGGCCTGTAAGGGGTCTGGCGGTTGATGCCGTTGTGGATTTGGAGGAGCAGCAAGAGGTGGAGGAGGAGGAGGCCAGGAAGGAAGGGGGAGATGCCGCAAAGGATGGGGAGGTGAATGCCGCAGCCACGCGCTCAGCAGAGGATGACACTGCTGCTGCTGCTGCTGCTGCTGCTGCCACCACCGTTGTCACCGCGGATTCTTCTGCTGAGGCTGCGGGCGATGTCCCAGCAAGCGGCAGCCCGCATCCCGGCCCTCAAGCGGCAGCCGCGTCGGATTCCGCAGAAGCGGTGGCTGAGGGTGCTAAGGCGGGGTCCGGGGTTGCCGCTGGCAGGGAGGCGGAGGGAGCGTTGCGGCCGGCAGATGTGATTGACTTGTCGGCAGAGGGGCCAGCATTCCAGGAGGAGCAGGCGGAAGAGGACAGCAGCCGTGAAGTGTGTGAGGGTGGTGGTGATGGAGCAGGAGGATGCAGCGGCGCAGGAGCAGCAGCAGGTCGCAAGGAGATTGCGGAGACTGCGGTGGCCGCTGAGGCGTCAGAGGGTGAAACGGGCGACATGCCTCGTGACGGCGGCGGCGGCTCTCAAACGCAGCAGCAGCTATGTCCAGAGCGCACGCCGGCTAAGCACTTGCTGCATCAGAAGGATACGTCTTCACCGCATAAGAAGAAGACAGTTTCACCACAGGGACAGCAGCCGCAGCAACTGCTGCTGACTCCGCCGCCGTCCCGCGCGGCCCCACTGACCCCTGGGTCGGTCACGCCCAGTCGGTCGGCGCTGCTGCAGATGCTTCCGCCCTCGATGACCTTTTACTTTGAGGTGCGTGGGCTGACTTGGTGCTGCAACACCCTTGTTATTATGTGCGTTGCCTGTTGAAGAGCGGGTGGGGCAACTGGGACGGCTGAGGTGTACGTGACGTGCAGGCTGGGCGGTGGAAGGGTCGGCGTCGTGCAATCCAGTTGCCTCCAATGGATAGGTGGCGTGCATCCGTGCTGGCTTGAACATGTCCCCACCCTCAGGTGAGCTGCCACACGGGCCGAGTGCACCTGCACCTGGCGCCCGACGGCAGCCGACCCGCGGGTCTGTCCCTTCCCCTGGAGCTGCTGCTGGCGCATCCCGGCAGCGCCATGCTGCGGGGCATCCTGGAGGAGCACGCCAAAAGGTGGGTTGGGGCGTGTCCCAACTTTCGGCTTGTCCGTCTTGATCGCGGAGGGTTGTTTGACGATCAAGGCCTGGATGTGCTGGTGTGACTGGGACGAAGTGACGCATATGGTGACGTTAGGGCCTTTATGACGCAGGTGGAGACGGGCAGGAGTCGCAGCAATTGCGGCTGCGGCGCGGAATGCAGCACAGCAGCAGCAGCAGCAACAAGAGCAGCTTCCGTTGCCGTCGCTACCGCTGCCGCTGCCACTGCCGCTGTCGCCTGCTGAGTCGCCTCGGGTGCCGCAAGCCGCCGAGCCGCAAGGCCCCACCGATGCTGGTTGTGTGGTTTCCGGCGGAGGGGTTGCCGTACAGCGCCAAGGTACGACACCTTCCGAGCCGCCTGCTGCTGCCGTTACTCAGCTGGCGCAGGCGGGGGGTGCCGTCGGCAATGCAGCAGCATCCGTACTTGAACGAGACCTGGGGGCAGCAGCAGGGGCGAAGGACACTACAGGGAAGGATGCACTGGCCCTGCAGGCGTCTCCATCCGTCCAAGCTGCCATCGCACCCGCCACTGAAAACAACAACGATGAGGACGCCCTAGCAGCTCAGCTGAGCTTCGTGGGCCCTGTGGGTCTTGTCGCGCCGCTGCCGTATCTCGCTCCCTCGCAGCTGTCGGAGGGGGTAGCGGAGGCGGCCGCCTTTGCTCGGGACTGGCGGGAGCTCAGGGCCGTGTCAAAGAACCGTTTGTACGGCGCCGTACTCGAGCGTTACTTCCAGGAGGCGTTGGATGCGGTGACGAGCGAGGCGATTGCGGCAGGGGCATACGGCAGCAGCACGGCACGGTACGTGCAGGACGCGCCGATGAAGGTCCCTGAAGGCGCCACGTTGCGTCCTGTTCAGGTAAGCGGAAAGTCGGGGATCACCCCATCATCTATCTTCTCGGCTACTGATCTAGTAGTTGTGTGCACCCACACGCTGTGAACTAATCTTTCATGTGGTGCGTTTCCAAGTTGAATCCGTGCCACTTGTTTTCTTTTCTCTCCCCAGGTGCGTTGTGATTCCAAGTTTTCCAGTGGCAGCAACGGCGGCGGCGGCGCAGGTGCAGCTGCTGCTAACGGTAACGGCGGTAACGGCAACGGTCACAACAACGGTGCCGGCGGCGCCCCATGCGGTTGGCGGACCTACCAGCAGGCCTTCATGTCGGACGGCAGCCGGCTGTGCCTCAACTGCTCGAAACCGGTTCCGGACTGCAGCCTGCCTCCCGCCTCCCACCTGGACAACACGGACTACCTCTTCTGCGACCCCGCCTGCGAGACCCGCTACTACGTCAAGGTATGAACTTGTGAGAGGCAAGGGCGAACGAAGGGGCTGGGTTGGGTTGGTGGCTGGCGTCTGAAGGGCGCAGAGAACCATGCTGCGGGGGGGGGAGAGGACAACGCAGTCAAGGCAGCATGGCAGTGGCACCGACTCTTCAAAGCCATGTCACATGCCCTCCCTCGCAGGCCTCTGGCAGCGCGCTGCGCCGCACGCTAGCCCGGCTGGAGCACGGCGTGTGCCAGATGTGCGGGCTGGACTGCGCCAACCTGGTACGACAGCTGCAGGTGAGACATGTTGGTTTCCAAGTTTGTGTTCGTTCTTACTTTCTTTCTCATATGTTTTCCATGCCCAACTGCATTGTACCTTTACTGCTGTAGTACCTGCGTTTCCACTCCGTTCTACAACACCTCACGCACGTCTTCACCCCCCGCACTTTCACGTTCACCTCGTCCTCTCCTCCTCACCGCCCCCTTCTCCTCCTCTCCTCTCCCCCAACAGACCATCCGCACCACATCCCGGGACTACCTGGCCAAGCGGCGGGCGGTGGTGGAGCGGCTGGCCCCGCGCCTCACGCACCACGGCTACACCGCCCTGCTGGAGAGGCTGCTGCGGCAGGTGGGGTGGCGGGGAGCTGTGTGGGGAGCGGGAGCTGGTTCTGGCGTGCATGCGGGGCTGGACCCCGCTGTCACTCAAGCTTTCGCAGGAGCTTACAATGAGGCAGTAGCCATAGACGGATAGCCCGACGTGTCGTTTGATGCTGAGACATCAACCGTTCACTGGGGCGTTGCCGCACACGCACCCAACCTCTCCCACTTCTCCTACCTCCCACAGGCCTCCGAGGGTCTAGCCTGGCAGGCAGACCACATCACCCCCGTCTACGCGGGCGGCGGCCTCTGCGACGTCGACAACATGCGGACCCTGTGTGTGGCCTGCCATGCCGACGTCACCAAGGCGCAGTGCAAGCAACGAGCGGCGGAACGAGCGCAGCGGAGGCTGGGGACGCGCGACATCCGCTCCTTCTTGGGCGGCGGCTCAGGCGGCCTGCCGCCGCTGCCGAACAAGCGCAAAGGTGCTGGCGGCGGCGGCGGAAACGCGGGTTCGGCGGCAGTCGTACCGGTACATAAGCGACGTCGCGGCGTCGCTAGCCGCGCGGCGGCATATATTGATACGTCGGATGATAGCCCCTCGAGGACGCCGCCGCTGCCGCCACCGCCGGCGGCGGTGGCGAAGGCGGGGCGGGCTCGTACGGACGTTGCTGCCGCAGCTGCCGCGGTTGCCGGCTTGGGAAATGGCAAGAAGGGTGTTAAGCGGGCCAGAGGCGGCGGAGGTGCCGGCGGTCGCGGCGGGCGGGGCGTCAAGGCAGCGAAGAACGCAGACCTGGTGGGCATTGAAGATGCTGATGACAACGTGTGGGAGTTTAAGCTTTTGGAGGAGGGCTCCTCCTCAGGTGACGGCGGCGGCGGAGGCCCCGTTGCGGACGGAGGCGACGGGCCTCGTGCTGCTGCGCAGCAGCCCCGGCGGAGGCCGGAGACTTCGGGCGCAGCGGAGGGAGCGTCTGACGGAGCCGGCATGACAGTAGCAGCGGCAACAGCGCCAGCGGCAACAGCGGAGCGGTTAGTGGCGGGCGATGTGTTGTACGACGACAACGACGCTGCCGTACGGTACGACAAGGAGGGCGCCGCTGCCGTGGCGGCACTGCTTCCTGAGGTAGTTGACTTGGCGAGTAGTGATGGTGATGAGGCTGATGCGCATGCAGAGGGTGCCGCGGTCAAGCATGAAGGGACGAATGCAGCGCTAGAGCGGAAGGAGGGGCTCGTCGCTCGTGCACAGGATGACGGGCCTAGTGTTGGCGGTACGGCGGCTTCGCCACCGCCGCCGTTGGCAGCCGGTGCCGCTGCCGCCTTGTCGCCACCGTCTTCAGCCAACGCTGGCGGCGATGGCAACGGCGGCAACCATGACACCGGCGGCGCCGGCCACGATGCTGACGTCAGCGGCGCTCCCGCAGGCGCCACCGCTGCCGCCGTTGACGGAAACGACGGCGGCGGCGTCGGTGGCGGCAAGCGGTCCTGGACGGGTCGCCTCCGTCACCGTGTGGAGGAGGGCCGGCATAGCGGCAGTAGCCGCGGTGGCGGCGGCGGCGGCGACGCCAGGGCTGCGGTAACCTCTGGGTTGGGCGCTGCTGGTGGTCGTCGCGATGCCTCAGGTGACGGCGGCGGCGAAGTTGAACGTGAGGCTGCCGCCGCTTCTGCCGCGGCTACTGGCGGACCTTTCGCAGTGGGTCTTCTTCACCTAGTACCGCCGCCGTCACCTTCGCCGCCGTCATCGCCCTCGCCATCGCAGCATGAAGAGAGTGGCTGTTCTGGGGTTTCTGATGCCCCGGTGGATGCCGGTTGCTTATTGCAGCGGCTGGGAGGAGAAACGTTGGACCAGCAGAAGCAGTCGTTGTCTCGGCAGGAGGAGCAGCAGGAGCAAGTGGCAGGGCTACAACCTCAGCAGGTGGAGCATATTAAGCAGCAGGAGCAGAGTGATAAGCAGGGTGACGAAAAGCAGCAGCAGGCAGGGCAGCCGCAGGCAGAGCAGCAGCCGCGGCAGCAGCACGTTGGGGTGGCGAGGCAGCCAGAGCGCAGGGGCCGCCTTGCCCTTCGGAAAACCCGACAGTAGGGAAAAGATAGTTGTGGCAGTTTTGCAAGATAGCGAAGTGGAAATGTATCGTATGTGTGGCAGGTGTGGTTTGTGAGATGCTGTTGGCTGTCAGAACTTATGCAGGAGTCGTGGGCATGGAGAGAGATAAGACAGTGTCTAGTTTAGGCAGGTGTTCTCGGGGTAGCAGCTTCAGACTGCCACTCACATGCATGCATTTGTTGATGCTGGGCTGTTGATAAAGTAGGGTTTGGGCTAGCTGTGTTGCGCTGATAGGTGTAAGCCAGAAGGGCTTTACGGAAGTGCAACTGAAGGGATGGCAATGTGAAGCTGCCTGCAGATGTGCAGTCTGGCGGGTAACCTTGTGTCTGCTGCTGGTTATAATCGTACATGCATACAGCGAACTTGTACACTCAGTTGGGTATAGACTCGGACACAATAGTTAGGTATCTCGAAGGTTACGCTCGTCGGATCATTTGGTTGGTATTTACGAACACGGCGGTGTGAGACCTAATCCTGCGGTGCTGATATCGCACACAACTCTGATGTACATTTTGATACGTGCCAGCCAACATGACCCAAGGTGTATCTCGTTCGCCCACAAAGCCTGCCAGCACACCCGTGTCATCAGCGCTCATCCTTCTTCAATTCTCACACGCCTAGCATACGGAAGGTTGCGTTATAGCCCTAAGCAGGCATGCGGGCCTTTCCAACAACACGCCACGACCCATCACGGCATTGCCTATCTACACGCTTCCTCAGCACCAATCAGCACCCTTCTGCCTCCCTCTTCCCCCCGTCGCCCGACTGCTACGCTATCCACATTGTTCACCGTGTTAGGCCCGGTTGACACCTACCGAGAGACTAACAGCGTCGGAACCCCCCTCGTCGCTCGTTAACTTGGTCTCACCACCCGCGTGTCGACTACTTTGGCACGCATTGGTCCTCGAACGGGACAACGCTTACACGAGTAATAGTTGGGGCCAACGCCTATGCATACTGCCCCAACCCCTCGGACTTTGCGCATTACTGAGGCAAAGGTCAAGGCAAGAAGGTACAGGTATTTCTTAACAGTTACATCGAGCATGCCCAGACCCAGAGTTTGTTAGCATTGGATACCAAGACCTACAGCAGCATTGGATAACGAGGCCTTTAGCATCTCATAAGCAACATGCCTGGAATGATTCAGGTCGGCGGGTCTCATTAGGGGGGCATGGTGAAGCGGTTATCGCAGGCAGTATCTGGACAGCCGCCTCAAGGAAAGGCTATCTAGCTGTGACCTCCAAGAACCATGCACTACATGTGTACCACATTCTGCCGTCCGTTATTGATCAACAGTACCGGTAAGTACGACAACCGCCCTAGCTAACTTCATGCACCGCATGTAAGCAGCAAACGAAAATCGTTCATTTCGTGCACGCACTTCCAATCCATGTTCATCATCATGCACAAGGTAACGTACTTATCCCTTCTCGCTCTGCGCAAAAGATGACATCTAAGGAGCGACCTTCTTTTCCATTCATCAACGCCCGATACCGCCGCCAACGTTGCCGCCCAAGTTTACATCATAGTTGCCGCCGACATTTCCGCCACCACCGCCGCCTCCAACATCGATGCCCGCATTGGCACTGAGGCTTTTGCCACCGCCGACACCAATGCTACCGCCACCACCGCCGCTAACACCCCTGCTAGTGTTCTTGCCGCCGCTGTTGAGATTGTTGATGTTCAGGACAATGGTGGTCGGCTTGGCCTGCATGGGACGCGGAGGCGGCGCACCACCGCTGCTGCCGCCGCCGCCGCCACTGCTCTTGCCGCCGCCGGAGCTCTTGCCGCCGCCACCGCCGCCACCGAGGGGTGGGCCGTTACGGGCCCACTTGAACTGACTGTTGCCATGTGAAGCCGTGTATGTGCATGTCGCCTGCGGTAAGGGAAACGGTTGGGATACAGTTAGAGGGCCCAAAATGTGAAGGACAGGACACCACACAAAGTGTGCTGAGCGCATGACGCATCAGCGATAACTCCTCGTTACGATAACCCCTCATATCAACCCATGCACGTGAAGTCCATAGTTCAACTGTGAGGGTCATAGCCGATAGCGTGAAAGCGCAGCACGCGTGGGACTTACCCCTGGCAGAGTGCAGCCTGACAGCAGATGCCGCTTGTTCGAATCGTGCTGGGCAGCCGCCGTATCGGCCGGCTTTGCTGCAGGTGCGGGCAGTGCTACTTCATCTGTAATGGCGGCCGTGCCTGTAATGGGTTGGGTTGGGACAGGCACACGTGTATATATGGGGAAGGAACCGGCAGAGGTCAAGGCGCGGCGGAATGGACGCTGTTGGGCAATAAAGGACAGAAGTTAATTGTGGCATCATCAGATCAGGGCATATCCTGTCGCCAAGGTTCATCTGACGAACAGTACGGCAGTGTTATGTACGCGGCAAGGGGTACATGGTTATAGGTCTTGAGCAGAAAGTATGGAAAGAGTCTGTCTATCTCCAACATGGCTGGGTGGCGGCTTAGTACTGCACCATCGGACTTGCAACCCACCGGTCTTGCGAGCAGCCGGCTCCGCTGCTGATGCAGTAGGTACGGCAAAGGTGGTTGCCGCAGACAGAGCTACAACCGCCACTGCAAACGCTAGAAGCGC